AACTAAAAAGGTGGTGTAATGGAAATTGACTCTTAAGAATCAGGAAAAGCAGACACCCTATTGTTCTTCTCAATGATCTCTTCTGAATTTTTTAAACAAAGTCGTTAATATTCGCACCAGGCCCCTCTGAGCCAGGCCCACGCGCAGCTGGTGCTTTATGGGTTATGACCTCACCAGACAAGGAGGCCCCTGCGGGGGCTTTTACGCACAAGTGAGGAGCACTATAAAAAGCACCACGTTTTGAAGGGAGGCAGGAAGCACAGGGGCGTGGGGCGGCGGCGGGGTGGGAGCGCAGGGAAAGGAGGTGCCAGGCCCTGAAGCTAGGCCATCACCGCCACGATGCCACCCAGCTCCCTCACCACCTGCCACTCCTGCGGACTCAAAAGGCCTGTCCATCCACTCCAACCCCATCTGAATCAGGGCTCAGACAGTCTCTTCCAGAAAACCTGGCTCTTGGAGAGCCTGTCCTACCCCGCCTGGGCCAGCCCCAGAGCCCTCACCAATGAGCATGCGGTATTTGTGCGGGTGCCGAGCATCCTCAATGACAGGGATTATGTTGGTCCTCTTCTTGGCCAGGTTGATGAGGTCACGGCCGGAGCGGTGGGAGAACTCGACTGCATAGACCAGACCATCCTAGAACAAAATCAAGTAACGATAACGACGACGCTAGTTCTCAACTACTGAGCTCCCACTTGGGACCCACACGCTGCACGCAGCATCTCTTCAAATCCCCCATCAAACCCTACCATTAAATGACTGCTGTTATCACGTCCATTTTATAGATGAGTAAACTGAGGCCCAGAGGCAGGAAGTCAATGGCCAAAGGCTCTTCAGCAAGTAAGTGGCCAAGCCTGACATTACACAGCCTGCATGTGAATGAACAGGGGCCATAAAGTGGGATGCACAGGGGCCCTGTACATGGGGACCTGAACACACACACTACAACGCAGCCCAACAGCATCAGAATTCCTGTTCTATGAAGAGAAATGGGAAGCGCGAATTTGGGGGCATAAATATTTAAAGAGACCAACCAACTCAGTCTGACAGCTACACTCCCAGCTGCGGGCCCTCTAACTCTGGTTGCCCTGAAGCCCACACCCCTTCCTTCGAGGCCAATAACCCAGGAGCATGGCTGAATGAGGCTCTGGTGGCCGTCTAATTCAGGCAGCCCCTTCCACCCACGGGCACTTCCAGAGCACAGGGCCTGGCTCCAAGCCAGCGTGGGGAAGCAGCCTTCCCCTCCGCCCACCTCACCGCCAGCCATTACTCACCTCTCGTGCCTTCCTCCCCAACTTACCTGGCCTACGATGTCAGAGACGTGGGAGACGGTGGTGCCCGAGGCAGCTCCGAGGTAGAGCACCTTGGCCCCCGGCTTGATGTGGATCTGGTCCACGCCACCCAGGATTGCTGCTGCCAGCTTTGAGCGGAAGGGGTTCCAGGCGCGGTACTCAATTTTGTCATCCCCCTCCTGGAGCAGGAGAGATGGGAATGGAAATCAGTGCTGGGCTCTTCTCCCGGGCCCCAGTCCCCTTACCCTGGGGCCTTGAAAGGGACTGGGCATTCGATCATTATGCGAGCGATGGACGCACATACGCGGCAGTGGCCATGACAGACGCGGTGGTGAAGTTCAGTGACTCAGGGAGAGAGGGCGGCGACAGGCAATCAACACAGATACCAAATCGTATCAGGTGATGGTAAGGCCTGCAACACCATTCAACAAACGTTTACTGTGCTACGTGCCAGACTCTGATCTAGGCGCTGGGGATACAGCAGTGAACACGACCGAGATCCCTGCCCTCAAGGAGTAAGTATACGAGGAGCTAACCAAATAAACAAAATACGTGGCATGGTAAGATGGTGACAGGTGTAAAGGAGAGAGGACAAAGCCAGGAAGAAGCCATGAAGCGTAGGAAGCAGGGTGACGGAAGGCGAGAGCAAGGAAGGGCGGCCGAGGGCAGGCCGAGCAGACGACGTCTGAGTCGGCCGCGAAGGAGGTGAGGAGCCGGTCAGGCTATCTGGGGAAGAGCATTCCAGAAAGAGGGGAAGCAGGAGGGACGCACTGAGGCAGGAGAGCGCCTGGCCATAAAGGAAATGACATGGGACAGTAGGGGCCGTGACAGAAAGGCAGGTGACCTGACCAGAGAGGCAGATGATGAGGAGGTGCCAGCCTTGCGCAGAGCTGTGGGCAGAGTGCTGCGGGCAGAGGGAACGGCAGTTCAGTGTGGCCGGCAGGCACCTGGTCAGGGGACGGTGGGAGATGAGACAAGCGCCACAGTGAGGCCTCGGGACTCTGACCTGACAGCAGTGGGGAGTCGCAGAAGGCATGTGAGGAGAGACATGCGCGCGTGGCCCGACTCATGTATCAAGAGCACTGCCTGGCCGTCAGGTGCGAGACACGTGGCTCTAGGGGTGTGGTACGGAAGCAGGGAGACCAGACGGCTGGTTGCACCATCAGCTGGGGTCCTGGTAGCTCGAACAGGGGCCCGGGTCTCACCGAAATTGAGACTCTCTTCTCTCCATAAACCGATTCTCCAGGGACCAGATTCTTGGTGACCAGTGCATCTTCCTTTCCTCGGCAAATGAAGACACCTGGGTATGGGGA